GGGGGGGGGGGGGAATGGGAGAAATCACATGTCAGAGAAATTTTATGTATCTAATCAATGTAGATATACCTTGATTTATAATTGCTCCATTAAACAAATTAGTAAACTGCACAGGAGAGAGATTCTAGCTCTGTAATCATTGTGCACTACTCAATTTAGCACCACTCTTGGTGTGCACAAGAAAATTTAGTGTCAGTTTAACTGCTAAAACAATAAATAAGTGGAAAAAATCCACTGCTAGGAGGGCAAAGTCTTTTGAAGATTAGGAGATAATCTGTGCTGAAAAAGTTACTCAATGAAAAGTGGTAAAATGTTACTAACCAACACTTGTGAAACAGTGTCACAAATGAAGGAATCTTTTCAGTGACTTCTCATTACTTAGCACTAATCTCACACTGAGAAAGTGGATAAACCTTTAGGCAGATTTCACATTAGAAATTTTAGAGTGGAAAAAGTTCTAGAACTATTAAGCGTACAATTCAGCAAAAAATTCATAATTTTGCCACAGATTTGTTACTGAAAACATGTAGGATAAAATGCACAATTGTAGCACTTTGGGAATGTTGAATGCAGAATTTTGGAAGAAATAATAAGGTCAAATTAAAATGCTTAATACTGAAAAAATGCAAGTATTAATTGGTGGTAAAAATTACATAAGTTGGTTAAATTCCAGTTTTCTTATGCTGGTATGAATACATGTGTTTGGGTCAGTTATAAAATATTAAATGTGAACTAAAACATACAGGATACAAAATCATGTTCTAACTGTAATATTAGTGTTATGTTTATTGAAATATTTTAAATGAGAGAATGATTTACCCCTATTTTTAATATATAAAATATTTAAATCAGAATTTTGACAATAATAATGACTATATATGGGAAAAATTGTTCACAACCAACAACATGGACTCACATTAAAACCTTGATGCTTTCTCATGGGAATCTGGTTTAATTATCTATACTTCCCTAACTTAATGTTTTGCTGATGCAATTGTGTCGAACACCCCTATGCAGCACCTTTGTCATCACCTGTCCCTTTTACCATATAGCACTGCTGGCCCTGATGAAAGTCGGCACACATTTTGTTCCTCTGCCATATGTCTCCCTGTTGCTGCTAAAGTGTGAAATGCTTTAGCACAGCTGGGCTTTCCTTTAGTGACTTTAGAGGGCACATGGTCATTACCTGATCTGCATATAGGTGTGCTTCCTTGGTGTTCGTGTGACTTAGAGGGTAAAGGTCTTTATGGGCTCTGAAAGTATGTGTTTAGTGTGGAACACTTACGTTTTGTGTGTCATTTGGACTGTGTCTCAGGGTTTGCATGTGCTGAGAGGATGTTGTGGTAAGTGTGGTCATTGTCTTTTCAGAGGGTGCATGGGGCGAGAGGCATTGTCCACCTGGCATTGTCCACCTGGCATCAGGTCACCAGTCATCACCCCTTGAGCACCAGTGGAGTCATGCCTGTGGGCCCTGATGCGACTTGAGATAGGAGGGGCCAGGTTCTTATCAGTAGGAAACTAGATCCCAGGATCTGAATGGTTCAGAGATTAGGGACGTGTGGGCATCAGTGATTGCAGCACTGAGTGGGAGAGTTCTTGAGTTTAGGCAAAAGATAGGGGGCTGAGTGACGGAGATTTATGGTTGAAAGCTTGGTAAGTTTGTGGATTAAGGATGCTAAGTTCTCTACTAGGGGGAAGAACTAAAACCACTTATAAGCAGCAATCCAAAGGCAAAAATCTAAGGTGATATGTGTTGTTGGAGGAATGAGGGGCAGACCCAGAAATACCTTTGGTAAGGCAGAGGAGGCATGGGCCTGTTATATCAGCCACACCTTTTAAAGCCCCACCCCTACTAGGCCCTACACCACTGGGTGGAAGCTCCACACTACCTTTGCACATTCCAGGGTCAGGCCTCTCTGGCCACACCCTCTTTGACCCGGGCTTGTCTCCCCAGTCTCATGCCAACCAAAATGGAAAAAGGGGGGCCGCAGGGTGTGGGGAGCTCCCATTGCCCATGGTTAAGTATAAGAAAACTGACTTTTTGCTAATGACTAACTTTGGTTGTCTCCATATAACTGGGTTGTCAACCAAGTGACATTAGAATGTATTTCATGAAACAGTTGATTAGTTCAATGACTTAGTTTGGTGGGATCAACAGCATCCATTGTGCACAGTTACCCCTTAAAATCCCTGCATCATAACGTAACATGGGAGATGAAATTAATGGGGAAATAAAATATTAAGTTACTGTTTTGGTAGAAAACTGAACCTTGATAAGACTTGTACAAGGGGAACAGAGTGAAGCTGGCTGACCTTTAGTTTAATGCAGAACTTATCAGACCCCCAAATGGCAGGGCACAGCACGGCCAGCTACATTCGGATGCACAGTCCACAGGGAAGGAGCTCACTGGTCTTCCACCAAAGTGCACTGTCCAGCTTTGGGAAAGTGAGACAAAGGAAAACCTCATCACAGCTGAATTCCATGGACACACCCTGACTACACAGGCATTCAGCCTAGTCAGGGCTTTCTTCCCCTGGGACACACCGCCGCTTCCTTGATTGGAAAAAAGTTAAACATCTCTTTAAACGATGGGGAACAAAGACGACCATTTTGAAGGGTATTTTGAAAGTAATGTTTTTCTTTTATACATATTTGGTCTCATTCGAGTTCAGTTTTAGAAAACATACCTTTTAGTGAAACCTTGACCCAAATGCCAGCAGCTTAAGATACGCATTTATTTGCGTGGGAGAGAAGAAAGTATTTTCCATTTAGGAAAAAAGACAACGCTTGTCTTTCCTAACTTTCAACATACCATACAAATGTACAGCTGCTGTAACGCTTCACAATTTCTAGGTACAGGAATAATGAGACAGTGATGTTTTTAATGATTATTGATTTTTAGAGCGAGGAAGGGAGAGGGAAACATCTAGATGGGCTGCCTGCTTCATGCCCACCACTGGGGATCAAGCCTGCAACCCAGGCATGTACCTGGACCAGGAATGGAACTGGCAGCCTTTCAGTGCAGTAGACAACACCCCACCAACGGAGCCACACTGGCCAGGGCGATACAGTGGTGTGTTTGAGCACTTGGTCAAGGTTTCACATAAAAATACCACCTCCTTTTCTCCTACATTTGTAAAATACCAAAAATTGTCCTCTGGCATCCGAGTCCCTTCAGGGATTTTAAGGAAACCGTGATGACCTGAATTCTTAATTCCTGGCTATTTGGGCTCGGTGACAAAAGATCAAAATCTCTAAAGATGGCGATTCACTTGAAATCAGACCAGAGATCCTGGCTCAGTCCATTTCCTAGGACTAAGGCTGCACTGTGTCCACTGGCCACGTGCAGTGGGACATGTACAGGTGGTGGCTCTCATGCAGTCCACGTGGTACAGGTACATGCATGGCAGAGATCGAATGGGGTCTCTGTGAACAAATTCCATCCAACAGATGACACACTCCTGGATCTTCTGCTCCATCTCTCCCATGGTTGTAAACTCCTTTTGGCAGATGCTGTATGTGCAATTATATTAATTTCCTAGAGTACATTCCTAGAATGAAAGACTGGCAGAATTATGTGGCTGTGCAGTGATCATGCCAGCTGCTCACCTGAAGGTCGCAGGGTGCCCGTGCCGAGTGGGTCAGTTTCTCGTTCCCCACCCGGAGCACTGCCACCACTTAACCTTTCTCCAGTGTGAGAGACAGTAAATCTCACTATTGTTTTATGTTTGAGAGGTTAAAATATTTCATGTGCACCTTTGGAATTTTTATTTCATATTTGGTAAATTGTTTGTTTTCCTTACAATTTTTTCATGCAACTGAATACTTACAGAAAGAGCTTTTGGTATGTTAATAACTATTTCTACCATGGAGACCAAAAATATTCAGGGTTTTGTTTTTTTTGTCTTCTAATTTTCTTTACGGTTTTGGGGATCCATAAAGATTTAAAGTTTTATGTGGTTAAATCTTTAATGTAGCCAGATGTTTTCTTTTTTATAAGGATATTGACCATTGTTATATTTCAAAATGTCTAAATAATAATAATAAAAGCTTTAATTATTCTATGTGAAGCAGCCTTATATGCCTGCACTTGCCCTGACCAGCTTGTAGAAGTCCTTCATAGTATTTTATTTAGGGTGTTTCTGGTACGTTTCCTTTTCTTTGTAAATTTTTAACCAGATATTGGTGCTTCATGATGCCAACAGTATGAAACTGGAAAACATTCCATCTTCTATATTTTGAGCACATGTTGGAATAATTATATTTTGGATTTAGTAAAATATATTATGAACATTAATTCACTTTTTTTTTTTTACTGCGACTACAGCCACCAAAAAATTTAACATTGGGTTGTTTCCACTGGACGGCGCCGACGTCTGGGGCTGTCCTGGGCACGCAGGGCTCAGCAGCCCCTCCAGCTTCTGTCCACTAGATGGCAGCAGCACGTCTCCCAGGCGACCACCACCGTATCTCCAGACTCACCGAAGTCTCAAGGGGGCAGCATCTTCTGGTTGGGAACCTGCCCTGTGGCCGTGAATGCAGGTGACAGTTCCTGCTATGAAGGGCAACCTTCTAGAAGGATGTGACCAATATTCTGAATTGCTTGTAAATAGAAAGCACTTGAGCCGCAAACCTACCTATGAAAGACAACCAGGAGCGCGGGAGGTCTGAAAGCCAATCCCAGCTGAGCTGAAGTCCTGGTGGTTTCCGGGTTTCAGCGGTTGGGTTGGAAACTCAGCTACGCTGGGAATCCCTGCATCTGCCTCTGACCGCAGTCCGGGAGGTCATCAGGCTCCAGGGGCCCCTTTGCTGCCCCACGCAGGGTACACGGACGTTCGCCACATACCGCCCACGCGGGCCTACTGCGCATGTCCGGTTTCTCCGCTCTGCGCGGGCCCCGGGAACGGGGAAAAAGGCTAGGGCTGCCTACTGCGCATGCCCGCGCCGTCTGCCTCCAGACCTGGGTGGTAACAAGGTCGCGCGGAGGGCGCCGGCCAATCAGCGCGATTGAGGGCGGGGCTTTCCGCAGCGACTTCCGGCAATAAGCCAGGACGCTCCGGCGCGGTCAGCGGGACGCCGCGGGAGTCCGCACTCCAGGTGGGGCCCGGGCTTTTGGCGCGCAGGTAGGGACAGGGTGTAGCAGCTCCAGGTGCGCGCTTGTTTTGGGAATCAGACCGTGGGTGCGCCAGGTGGGGTCCCCTGCGCATGCTCGGCCCACCTTCCGCGACCGGCCCTCCGCCCGGCGTCCGAGGAGCCCGGGTGTCCCCACGCCGTGGGCCCCGCTCGCTGCGCGGGCCGGTGGCCCCTCCTTCCCGCCGTCCACCCCGCCCGCCAGCCCCGACTGGGAACCCTTGTCCCCGGGGCCGCTCTGGGCCGGTCTCCGGTCCCCCCGCCTCCGTCTCGCGGTCGCAGCTCCGCCCTCTCCGCGGGGGTTCCGGCAGCTGGGGGTCCGAATGTTGCGTCCCGGGCCGGGAGCCCCGCTTGGACCTTTCCGTCCCTCCCCGGCTCGTGCGAGCTCGTCCCGAAAGCGCGGGATTCGGGAGCGTCGCTTCCTCCCCCGCGAAGCACCTACAATACCGCCTCGGTCAGGAAACGCAGTTTCTTTTATTTTTTCACACTCCATCCCTCCCGCGTTGTAAACGCTCTCCGCTCCTTGAAGCGTCTGTGGTGACCTCTCAGGCCCCCCGCAGTGAACCCCGAGTTTGCCATTTCTTGATGTTCTTTCTTGATCGAATTCTTTTGCTCTTACAATCCATATTCACATTTGACCCTAGATTGTTTGACTGTAAATTACTTGGAAATTTTGTAAGGAAAGCAAAGCATTAAGAAAGGTCAAGTGCTTATCCAGTTGAGGACCAGTCACTGCTTCTTAGGACAATTAAAATTTATTTTTTCAAAATTTGTGATAAAAAACTACAAATTGCTCTGGGGTCACCCGCGACAGACGACCACCAGAGTTTGTGATTGAATTTTGGAGCCTTTATTAGCTGGCCAGTGGCTACAGTTGCGGCGTCTCACCCATGTGAGAGCCGAACTGCAGCCCTGACCCTCAGTTCTTCTCACTTTATGCTCAGTAACCACAAAGGCACTGCGGGAAAGGGGTTTCCAACAATTTGTCAGGCTGTCAGCTTTTGGTACAGGAAACAAGGGGGGACCTTTAGCAACACAAAAGGAACGATTTAAACACAATGTCTTACAATGAGTTATGAGGTTATGCTTGGCCAGAGCGGAGCGTGACTGGTTTGTTCTTTCTATGGGAACTCGGGCGGGGGCGGCGATTATTGGGCTGGCTTGTCGGGCCTTGTCCTGTACAGTAGGGATCTTGTTCTACCTGTACTGTTAGTTCCTTAGGTATATTCTTCTGGCCATGGTGGCCAGAACAAAATGGGGGGGAACTTCTTTGCCAATTTTTCCTCTGAAGGTGCCTTACTGTTACCGTCCTCAGAACCTTTCGTTCTGTTTTTAGTATATTTATAGCCTAGCTCTTGTTCAGCACTTACAGTCTTTATTGTTTCATAACTGCTGTAAGGTTACTCAGTTTCCTTTCTATCTAATTTAAAAACAAATAGCAAAATATATGTAGCCTTTTGAAGTTTGTTAGAGTTATGTTTCCTGTCTGGTTTTCCTTGTCTTATTGTTTTTGTATTTAAATCAATCCTTACTTCAGGTTATTTTTGGTGACCTGTGTAATACCAGGTAAATGATGTAAAAAAACACACTGCAGTTTTATGACACTGTTTCAGGGGGCGTTCAGGAGCTGCTGCTACACAAATACAGCGACAGCATTGACCGTGGAGTGACAGGCAACTCTGCCTCAGTTTCTTCACCTACAAAATGGAGAATTAACCCTGTAAAATGGGGGTGAGAACATTTCCTACCTTGTAGGGAGATCATACAAGTAAATTGTTAGAGTAATGCCGGCCCCCAGGAAGATCTAACATATGTTTGCTGTTATTTGCATTAGTTAACAAATAGTATGCTTGTGGAAGGAAAGACCTTTCCGGATGAGTCTGACTCTCTCATGTCAGGAATTTCCACTGCACATGAACTTGGTGAGGCATGTCCTGCAGCTCCACCCTCTCTTCTGCCACCTGAAGTATAGAGGAAGGGAAGGTGTGCTTTAGTTTGGCGCATGTGCTCGCTCTCATCAGTTGGCATAAAATGTGCATAAGATTGTTAACTGTACCAGCTGTTTGACAGCTGAGGTGCCACCCTTTGAAAAGTTGCTTTTATACATTTAATTTTCAAGAGTAATTTCTAGTTTTTATTTTTGCATTTTGAAATTCTCAAAACAAGGTAATTTTAATTAAAGTAAACTTATAAAACCCTAGCAATTAGGTCTTTGGCAGAACAGATACATTAATTCTCAAAAAAGTGATGGTTCATCTTCATTCTAAAAGTTGACTGATGTTTACTGAATTGCAAAGTTAGACGCCTCAGACTGGGAATATTTTTGAAAATTTGAGACAGGCCTTTCAGATGAAATTTGTCTTTGTTCCCCTCCCCACAGCCCATGTTTTTTTATTTTTGTTGTAGAATTACTGTGCTTATGAAGTCTGCGCTTTTTAGTTCGTGATCTGTATGACATTATACTTTAAAATAAAACTTTATTGTAATCCAAACAGCATAACGTGACAAATCTATGGAATGCATTCATCTACAGTAAGACAAGTATTTTCCTCTGTTGAAAATAAAAACCTCAGAAATGTACTACATTTATTTCTGTGGTCCATTTAAATGCATTTTGCTTCTTCCAATCCAAGGAAATACAAACGCTCAGCAGCTGAAAAATTCAGGCCAGCTGTATTCATTTCCAAAGAGTTTTAAAGTCAAAATGAATTATCTTTAGCGTTTTGGTAGTTGTGAAGGAATCGACTGTCTTACTGGGAACACCAAGCTGACTTTCTACAGTGGAAACTCTGTTAGTGGGTTTGCTTATGAGGCCTGAACATAAGTGTATTAAGTAATGGACATTGTCTCTGAATAGCTGAGTACAAAGTTGGTCTGTCATAAAGTTTTAGAATATTGTATTAGCGGAGGTGTCGGCAAGCAGTTCCTCTTGCCTAATTAGTTCTTTCTGCTTGTTTTCCCATTTTATCTGTCCTGCCATCCCTGGCAAGTAATTCTCAAAACAGCTACTGCAAATGTTGCTACATAGCTTGGTAGCTTTTCATTGTTTAGAGAGTAAAGTCCAAGCGCCTTTGATACTAGCATTGTCTGTGATCTGGCTTCCAGTCGCCTTCTTGGCGTTTACCTGCCAGCCTTCCTGTAGATTTCTCGGTTCAGCCAACCTGTTCTGCTCATCATTCCCACGGGAGTCACGAGGGACATGCGTTGCTATCTGCGTATTTTTTCACCCACCCCCTCTGTGATTGGTGCTTTGTCCTTGCCCTCCATTCACTTGAGGTCTTACGGAGCTTTAAGGCCAAGCCCATGTCCTGTTCTCTTCAGTGTTTTCCCAGGTCACGTGCTTTTTTTCTCTGAATTTCTTTCAGTGATTCTCTACTACTCATTCAGTACCCACGTTAGAAAATTGCACATGTGTATGTATTTTTATATGTTTTAAGTATATTTGCGTGTATTATTACTTTGTGTGTGTGGGCTTTCTCATTTATATTGCTGCTACTGTTCTTTAGTTTCTCAGCTAGAGGGTGCACCCTAATGGAAGGTGCACATAGCACAGTAGTGCATTTGGCCTGTGCTTACCTGTTTTTCGTTGGAGTAATCCTGTATTTGGTCTGTTGAGCAATATTCTGCACCGTTGCCACTTGATTTGTTTCTTTAAATCACAGAATGCTGAATCCACAGAATGATACTGAGAAACACTTTGACACCAGTCAAAGATGGTCTTAAAAGACATTTTTCTCATGTATGTTTTTTATGAGATTAAATTTGCCATTTAAGAATCACCTGTTACATCATGGGACTTTGTAGAGTGTTGTCTGGCCTATAACTGAAGCTTCATGAAAATAAAAAATCAGATGCATGCTATTGGAAGCAGTCTTAGATAATCCTGCAGATTGGCTGGGCATGGGTGGTGGCTTTTGCATTTTAGGGTGACCAGGTTGTGAAACAAGTCTGCAAGAGGAGGCTTGTCAAAAAAGCGTTAAGATTTAAGGAGTAATTTTTAAGTATCTTCTACAGCAAGAATTTAAAATAATATATGACGGGAAAAGGTGTTCTGCTTGCAGACTAGGTTAGGAAGGTCTTGCGATCCTCTTGGTACAAAGGAAAATTACTTCATCATACATTTCATCTATCATTTCAGGAACTGAGCACTTGTAGTTGACCCAGCATTATTGTTGAAGACTTATAATTTCCTTCTGAAAATTTTTGTCTTATCTAAACCATTACAAATGCCTATTGAATAACCTTCGTTAGTTATACTAAGTATAGTTGAGAGATGGTATTGGAACATTTTCATCTCTCATGTACTCTATAAATAGTCCACATTAGTGAAATATGCCAAGTCTACTTTGGGACATTAGATTAATATAACATATCACTTCATTGAAACTGTTGAGTTATCAGCTACTGTTTTGTAGCTAAATTCAATGTATACTTTTCAATTCTTACAATACTGGCTTCTTTATAGCATTTTCCTCTTTGTACATCGTTTCTTTCTTAAAATACATTGTTGTCTTGACACCTAACTTGCTCCCCCACCTGTATGTCTCTTTTCAGTTTCCTTTCTTGGCTTATCTTCATCTGCTTGTCACCTAAATGTCAGTGTCCCTTAGAGTTGTTTCCTTGGCTCGCGCTACTCTTTTCCTGTCCTGCTTTCCAGCCTTACTCTCTCTTCTGGGCCATGGATCTATAGGGCATGTGTTCATTCAGCGTTACCGAGCTCCTGTTGTGTGCCTGGCATTGTTCAAGGTAATTGGGTCACAGAGTTGAACAAGACATTGTGCTTTCTTGGAAGAAATCATACAGTAAACGTGTAAGTGTTCTAGACAGCACTTACTACTGGGCCATCACTGGGTCCTGGCTGAGAGACATGGGAGGGAACACTCTAGCAGCACGGGGAGTGTTGGGTCAGGTGGTCAGGAAGCCTTTCTGGGGCTGTGAGGTTCTGAACCAGTAATGTGAACACCTGGGCCATCCTTAGCCCTCACTGTGCAGGAGAGTCACTGGTGGACCTTAAAAAAAATGTAGCCATCACCACAGATACTCATAGAATTGGTCTGGGATGGGGCCAAGCACTTGTAATTTTTAAAAGTTTCCAAGACTTAATGCTCAGCAGGGTTGAGAACCACTGGCCAGAGAAAAGCACCTCAAGGCAGTGGGAGAGCTAGTATTCGAGGTCTTGCGCTCACCTGTTTATAAGCTTTATGAAGGTGATAACATGTTTCATCTTTTTTAAGGCATAATTTTTATAACTGGAGTCTACTGTAGTGCCTGTCACCGTAGGCATAGCAAGCCTGCCAGGCACATCCAAAACTGAAATCGACACCTCTTCTCTATCCCTCACCTCACACATCCAGCCAATCTGGCGCTGCTCCCTGCCCCGGTCCTTTTCCTAGGGTAGCTCAGAACACTGTCGTTTGTTTCCCTTGGAGTCAGTGGGAGAGCCGAGGGAGCACATAGGTAGAAGCCCTGATTGCGAGTGCCTGACCGCTGCAGTGTTTCTTCTTCTCGCTGTTCCAGTTGCAGCCACACCCTCTCACTGTTCAGAGGGCAGCACTCAGTAGCCTCTAGTCCTAACTATATTTTCTCCAGGTGTAACCCTGATTTCTTTATAAAGCTCAGGCGTGACCTAATCACTCGCCTGGAAGTTCCTTTCTACGCCCTAGGACCCCTCTGCCTTGACTGTCCTCCATCACTTCTCCACTCTCACTCCCAGCCCCTCCCACTGCTCTCATTTAGGCTTCAACCAGATCAAACAAAGTACAGTTGATGGACATGAATATGCTTCATTTGTGTTGCTTCTAATTTCTGCAGAAGAGAGTTCCATTTGGGGAAGGCACCCTGCCCTCCCTCTCCCTCTCCCTCTCGAGCTGTGAGCCTGGATGTGTCCTGTACTCAGCCCTTCGTGGCCTGTGCAGCGTCGAGCTAGTAAGTCCACCAGTGCGCATACTGTCTGGTCATTTTAGTACAACTGAGGCACCGTTATCTTCACCGTTTTATCACCAGTGTCTAGGCAGCATACTTTTTAAAGATTAATGAATAAATGTTCTAAGTGAAAAGAAACTTGCCAATTACACATACCTTTTTAACATAAATCAACTGTTTTTGTAGAACTATGCCATTTCTGGGTCAGGACTGGAGATCCCCTGGATGGAGTTGGATTAAAACGGAAGACGGCTGGAAAAGATGTGAATCTTGGAGCGAGGGGCTGGACAGAGAGGAGAACCAGCACAGCGTGGACCACAGCACGTATGCCAGAGCTAAGCAGGGCACCATTTAAGAGCCTGCTGAGCATTTATGGTTTTATTTATTTTTCACGTTGCTGCAAAGCTCTGAAACTTGTTGTCTGGCTGAGATTTGCCCACACAGGCTGGTGTGAGGAAAGAAGTTATTTGTCGAAGGTCTGAGCCAGCGGGTTGCCTGGTGCCCACATGCAGCTGCTGCTCTTGTTCCCAAGTGAGGGCTCACTGCCTGAGGCTCACAGAAGCCAACACTATGGCACCAGCTTATGAGAAAAGAAAAGGCTTTTGTTGTGAAGTCAGCCAGCAAGGATACGGGCAAGGCTTCAATCTGTCTCCTGGACCCAGGGTCCAGGGAAGTTTTAAGGGGTCACAGGGCGCAGGCTGGTTTTCGGAAGCGCTGGCTGGGCAGGTTTCCGTTGGTGTGTTTGGGGAATTTGGCTGTCCCAGGGTGACCCGACTGAGGTCTTGGTGGGGAGATGGCGCTGTTCACAGAGCTGTTGCAGGAACTGTGTGACTTGGTGAAGGAGAGGCGTTGGAGAGCAGTGTCTGGACACGGTCTGTGAGGTATTCGTGGCATTTCCCATCAGGTTTCAGGGCTGTGGGGGGCTCTGTGGAGGAGGGTGGAGAGACATGCCCATCTCCTGTGAGCGCTGGACTAGTGAAGGAGCCAGCGCTGGCATGCCGCACTCAACTCTGCCTGAGGGGATGCTCTGAGGCTTCCCCTTTGCATTTAATGTATTACATCTTTATTGCATCATTTTATTTACATCTCATTAGACATTCAATTTCCTATCCAGATTTGAATATTTAAGATTTATTTCGGTTATTTGGTTCTTGGTGGGCATAGCAGTGGAGGTGATTGTAAATCTGGGAGTCCCCGAGAACTGTCCTCAACTCTAGTCGTCCCAGATTTCCCATTAGTGGAATTCTCTTAAAAAAACATTATAAAATTGCAGGTCCCCCAAGGAAAAAAGAAAAGAAACTGCATTTTTGGTTCCCTTACAAAAATGCAAAACCAGTCTCTGGTCAACATGAGGGACAGAGAATGCATGGGATCTTCTGGCCCTTGAAATGAGAGCTGTGCTCCCGAGGCCACAGTGCCTAGACGAGACTTTCCTGCACTGTTATGTAGTTAAGTTGGTGTTTTTCTCTCAGGATCTTTAGTGTTGTTACAGCTTTCCGTAAAAGCCCAGATGGCTTTCCTTATATTTTTTTCTTCAGTGACCAGAAAGAAAAATGTGACTTAGAAAGTTGGCACAAGGTGAGACCAGTCCTGTGTGTTTCATGGCATTTGTGTTACTGCCTGTTCAATGGTGGTGATTCCATTTGGATCAGAAGGTCTGTCTCTGGCTTTGTTTTATGTCTGTTATAAACCAGCAGGAACATCGAAGCCTTGACATTCGTAGTAGGAGGAGTGGAAGTTCTTTTTCAGCAGAGATCCTGTTCTGCACAGAAGAAATGTAGATTATTTACAGTTTTTAAAATGGATTTCAGGTTGTGAAAGAGTGAAAAGAAATAAAATAGGCAAGAATGAACAAGCCCTGTATTTATTTACCAAACAAAAGGAATGAAAACACATTTGCTTCAGAAGAAATATCCTTGCAACTGCTAAGGACTGAAGTGAGGTGAGACATTTGGAGAAGCTGTGGAGGGAAAGCAAGGAAGCAATCCTGGGTCTGCAGTGGGTGAGGCTCACTGAGCTCCTGGAGAGCTCGGGAAGCACTGATAGGAATTCTTTGTGTTTGGTAGAATCCACGAGGAACGGCACCTGGCCCTGGCCTTGGTTTGTTGGGAGGTTAGTGTCAGTCTGTTCACATTTCTGTTCACGGGTCAGTGATGGTAGGTTGTGTGCCTGGGGCTGAGCTGTTTGTTCTCAGTTGTGCGGCTTGTTCATGTAGGTGCTTAGGACCCTTCCTATTTCCTGGTGTGAGTTGCACCATCGCCCTTCATTTCTGAAGTTGAGGCTTATTTCTTCTCTTGGTGAGTCTAGCTAGGTGTCTGCTGGTTTTGTTTGTTTGTTTATTTATTTAAAAACAGCTCCTAGTTTCATTGGTCTTTTCTACTGTAGGTTTTTTTGTCTCTCGTTTATTTTTGCTCTGATCTTTATTTCCTTGTTATTTTCTTAGTTCCTTGAGGTGTAATGTTAGGGTGCTTATTTGAAAACTTTCTTGTTTCTTGACTAGGCATTTATCACTGTGAACCCCCTTGTTAGAACTGCTTTTGCTGCATCCCATAAGTTTTGGTGTATTTCATTTTCATTCGTCTCAGGGTACTTTTAAATTTCTGTTTTGATTTCCTGTCTGTCACACTGGTTGTTCAATAGCATATTGTTTAATCTCCACATTCTGTGATGTTTCCCATTTCATTCTTATAATTGTTTTCTAGTTCATACCATCGTGGTCAGAAAAGGTGCTTGATATAATTTCGATCTCAACTTTTTAAAGACTTGCTTTGTGGCCCAGCATATGATCTGCCCTGGAAAATGTTCCATGTGCACTTCAGCAGAAGGTGTGCTGTCTTGCTTTTGGATGGAAAATGCTGTATGTCTGTTGAGTCCATGGGTCTAACGTGTCATTTAAGGCCAGTGTTTACACTACATTGGATCAGGGATGAGGCAAATTATTAGTCATATCGGGTATCATACTGGCACATTAACTTTTTTCCAGAGTGTTTATACTTTGTTTATAATCTCCCTCTTTCAACAAAGCATCTTGAAGTCTGAAACTGTGTTGGTTGAGCCTGTCAAAACCTGTGGGACACTCTAAAACATGTTCAGCACTTCCTGAAATACCATTCTCAAAAGAACCAGGATAAATCTTAGGTTTCTCAAAACAAAAAGAATATATTAGACATCAGTTGTGTAATATCAAATTGTGATGTGTTGCTTTGAAAATTAACTTCTTGCTTTCAGAATTTGACATGGTTTTTATTTTGATCTCCTAAATTGCAAACCAGATTTTTATTATCATTTTTAAAAATGAAAAGCCAAATGAAGATATCCCTGTAAAGATATTTTAACAAAACTTATCTTTATTTCAGACTCTTAAGTAGTGAAGATGAAGACCTACTCCCCAGTGAAGAGCATGGATATGCCCCCAAAAAACGGAAAAAGGATCATTTCAGAGATGACAGCAGTGCTCAGTGTAAGATTGTTTTCATTAAAAATTGTATGTTTTGCTTGAGTATGTTTGCACACTAAATTGCTCTCACATGCTCTTAGGAGAGGTGAGACAGAGGTGTCTTACCCAGAGTTCTCCAGTGTGGCCCATAGACCTAGTGATCAACCATTCTCTTAGTAAGATTTGCAAAAACAAAACAAAGATATAGTAAAACCCACAAAAGAGCCTGCACATCTGCGTGAGTGAATGGTGGTCACCATCAGTACATTCCCAGGCAGTGAGGCCAAACCTGAGGGGTCATGACTTTGGACTTGTGTTGCAGGAGACGCTGCTGTTCAGAGCAGGACATGAACATGGTTAGAGCTGGGTTAGCACCTGGGTAGGAGGGAGGGGCCTGGAGGCAGCCACTCACCTGTTCAGTCCTGCTCTGCACTGTGCACTACCCTGAGCCATGAGAAGTGCTCTCTTGTGTTCATCTGCTGAGGGAAGACAGGCCTTGTGGGGGTAGTCATCATGACCCTTAAAGCTTTGGGATTTAATTACATGAAAAATTTACTTGAATTGAATACAGTACAGAAGTACTGACAGAAGAATAGAAGTTTTTATTAATTACATAATAATTTGTTAATAATTGTGTTTTTATAATGACTTATGTTTTCATATTACTACAGTCATTAGTAACACTAATTTTCTTCTAAGTTACCAAGAGTTTGTACTGTCTAAAATCATTTTTTATGTAGAGTTATGTTTCAGCACCTCTTAAATTGATGTTAGGAAACAAAGAATTCTGTTTACGTTTAACAAGTAAAAGCGTCTTCTAGCTGTACATCAGATAATTTAATTAACATGCGATTATTTTAAGTTCCTGGAAATCTTCATTTTGAAATGAATCACCAGATTTTAAAAACAAAGTTGATTTTTGTTCTAGGTTTTTATCGTGAGAAATGGATCTATGTCCATAAAGAAAGCACAAGAGAAGTAAGTATTCTCTTGTAAGTAAGTGTACATGTTATGTTGTTTCTGTTGACTGTAATATCTCATTAAATATATTACTTCTTTTGCAGCATCAAACCTGTGGTTCACTCTGACAGATGGAGACATAGGGGATCTTTGAGACAGTGACTCTTGTGTATGAGCGTGTGCACGTGTGTATGGTCAGTGCCCCTGGTACAAACCTGAATCAGCGGAACAGGGTGGGCCCCTAGGTAGTTTGATATTTCCTGTCCACCTCCCACCGAAAGCTGTTAATGCTGAGCTTCAGTGCTAGTAGGGAGCTGTCATAGGTCTCCTATGTTGGGATGGTGAGAACCTTTGTAAACCCTCATTTAACATGTCGAGGAGCTAATGGGACATTCATAATTAACTATGTATCAGCCAAGAGCAGTTTGAACCTTTCCCCTCCTTTCTTTGGACAAGTTGGAGACATGTATGGTCCGCTCACCTCAGCCATGTCTTTCCTTTTTCTCTCCCTGGTATCTGGGAAGCTCACTTGCATTTTCAGTCTGAGAAACTCAGCACTTGCCTTATTTTGTAGCCACTGGGGGGAATAATTTAGGGAGTAATTGTTTAGTATCTATTCCGTTAGCATGAGTTAACTGTTCCAGAACTGTTAATAATGGATGTTCTGAAACTAGCCTAGCTTCCTGGAAGCTTAAGGATTAGGCTCTAAGGCAGAACTTATATGACCTGTTTGGTGACTGTTAACATTGTTGAGTGGGCCCAAAAGGACTCTGGCCCTTAGCTCACAGTCTGATGCTCCGTTAGAAGACGTTTGGCAGAATCTAATGTCGTGTGAGCTTATTTAAGGCTTAAACATTTCACTTGTTCTGTGCCACCACACTGATTACAGAAAAGAGAACCAACGTAGTCTGTGGGTCTTACTTGGATCTGTGGATCCGAGGATCTGAGGAGCAAAGTTGTAGCCGGGCTGAGGGAGGGAGCAGGACTGGAACTGAGAGCTGCCCCTTCTTTCGCAACTGTCTCTGCATCATCTCTGCTGGCTGCTCACCTGGGTGGACCAGTTATCTCTGCTGCCTATCACATGGCTGACTGTGGCCTCCTGCAGCCTCTGAGCACCCACCTGCATGGTTCCAGGCCCCCATGAGAAGGGCAAGTGCATGTGGTTCAGACATGCTATTTGTTATTTGCTCTATGAATCAGATTTAATTCCCCCCAAAAGAAGAGGCTGTTGTGAGATGGGGGACTACCTGGAAAGGAGTCTCTACACCAGCACTTAGGGTTCTGTTCACTGAGAAGACATTAAAGTGGAAATACCAGCTGTGATTGAGCGCAGATTTTGTCTAATTAAGCTCTGCTTCCCCCACAGCCCCAAGGAAAATACTTTGCACATAGTACATTCAGTAAAAATATGTATTGACTGTTTTAAATAAATGAGTCTTGTTGGTTTGTGGACACATTAGGACTGCTCTTGGGGCTTGGGCACAAACCACAGAGCCTTTCCTGTGCGTCTTTTATCTGAGCCTAAGGTGAGCCTCCTCTCCTAGACCCTCTCCTGCCACTGCTGTGGTTTTCCGTGATTGTTCCCCAGTTTACCTGACCCATGACTCTGAATTGAAAATATCTTTCTATATCTTTGTGTTTCAAATACAAAGATGGAGTTTAAAGTGATGCCTGAAACCTAATGTACAAACCCATCTGTGCAAACCAGTTGGAATACAGGTGCATCATTAGAGAAAACTGTCTACAGGAGAACACTGTTTCCACTCTTAAAAACAATGACGTGTGTTCATTTGTTTTCTTTGACTCCTGGACCTGTGGGTCTAATTACCAGCTTCCCAGGGTGGGTGCTAGGCAGGCCCTGCTCCCGAAGTCATATGCCACCGCCTCCCGCCACTGGTTGCAGAGCCCCTCCCGCAGCCTTGGCCCTGAGTGTTGGGCCGACTTGCAGACCTGCGGGCAGAGGGGCCTTGTTCTCAGCCATGTATTTGTAGTGGACTTTTGACTGTGCCGAGCGCCTGGTGTCCGTGTTTGCTGCTGTGTAGGCGAGAATATTCCCACTTATTTTATGGTTTTAGGCCTAATTTGCCCACCCACCAAATGTGTTCCACAGAAGAAATGGGCGAGGTGCTTAGTAAGCATATCTTTGTCGTCTGTCCACAGTGGTGTGAGAGTGTCCCTGCGTCCTGTCCTGATGCTGCTTGAGTGACTAATCAGCATGGTGTGATTTTACTCAACTCTCACTAAATGTGTGCTAATCATAATGAAGAGAATGTCCTTTGCCAACATTTAAAAGCCATTGAGCACAGACTCACTTGCAGCAAGCATCCGTCCATTTGCCTGAGGGGCTGCCTCGCAGCTGACATATTGCTTGTCTTCCAGCGGCACGGCTACTGCACTCTTGGGGAGGCCTTCACCCGCCTGGACTTCTCCAGTGCCGTCCAGGACGTCCGCAGGTTCAGTTATGTGGTCAGAGTGAGTATCTCGCTGTGAGTGAAACACTCATGTTGCTTTGGGCAACTGCATAACCCTGCGCTTACTGGCTGTGTAGAAAGTACTCACCAGGAGGGGTTCAGGAGAAAATAGGCTGGTGTCGCTCGGGGGGCGGGCTCTGCGCTCTGGTGGGACCAGTCGGCCTCCCGCGCTTTTAGGAGACTTCTCTGAACCACATGTCCGTGCCTGGCACTGCAGGAGATGAGGGAAGCAGATGGTCCTTTGTGGGTTTACCTGACTCACCTGTGTTTCCTATTTCGAGTGTCCAGCAGAGCCCTGCTCCCAGGGAATGCAAGTGAGCAGAGAACAGGAAACTAGCACAGCATAGAGCTCACAAGAGCCAGCTGTGTTACCGATACCTGTGTAGAAGTTTGTATCTTGGCCTACATTCAAAAAGAAAGGCTCTTAGCCATGTACTGTTTGCTCTTACTTGTGTGGTTACCTGCTCTGTGGTTTCTTCACCTCCCTGCTATTACAGGTGAGCAGGAACTGATGGCTCCTGCAGCTGTTGGGTTTGGAAAGACTTTCCCTGTTGTGGCTTTTAGGTAGTGGAAGTGTTACTAGGAACAGGCTGATGGATGTCAGAGGGGAGGGGGTGGGAGGGACTGGAGGAAAGAAGGTGGAGAGATTAGCCCATAGACACAGCAGTGTGGCGAAGGCCAGAGCAGGGGACGGTGGACAATGGGGACCTCTGTAATAGTGTCAGCAATAAAAAAAAATCACAGTCTGGTTGTGATCATAAAGAATTTTCAGTCTAGCAAATAGGTAGACCTGCTTTTCTCTCTTACAGAACTGAAGCTTTTCTTTCTAAGGAAGGCAGGTTTGATTAAGGAAAACTGCACTGATGAGATTCTGTATTCTTCATTTTTCTGTAGTGGAGGGATTATGAAATGACTTGGCTGGGTTAGAATCTTACCGGTTTGTCAAATGACATCACTGGCATGTAGAATCTGTTTTTTAAGGACTCCCCCCATTGTCAAAGAGCGCAATGCATATGTTTCCTGGGCAAAACCCCACATGGGTGTACATTTGTGCTTAGGGTCAAGGTTTTAGTACCAATTACAAAATATTTATCTTGATTAAAATTTTCCATTAATACCTGAGAGATAAAAAAGTCTTATGAGAACAAACTTGGGGAGTAGGTAACCTCAAGCCTGAGGCAGTTTTACCTGTTTAGTTAGGTCTTAGCTGGTTTCCTGGTTACCAGGATGGGTATGGGGGCTCCTTTGGTACCGAGCGGGGTGCTGCTTGGAGGCCGCCTCCTGAGTTCTGTGCAGACACATGACATGGGTCTCCATTGCTTGAACTGACACTGGACTTGGTCTTGTTGAAATTGTCAATAATTCGGTAGCCGGGAAGCACGTGTCCTCATGGATCTGTTTTACGGTGGATGTTCTACATGTCACTTTCATCGTCTTATCACGCTCGGGTTCATTCTTTGAGGGGGAGGGGAGCCTGGGTCTGGTTTGGAGGGTCTGGAGACGGAGTCAAGCTCCTGGCCACTGAGGACATAATGGACACCGGTGTCACTGATCCTGTCACCTGAGCTACCTGGTGATTTTCTGTCCTGTCCATGCCCTGCAATTACTTACTGAGGAGACTTTCTTCAGACAGCTTTTAAAATGGAAATGCCTACTTTAACCTCACTTTAGACAATAATACCTGTGAAATTATAGGTTTTTTTTGTGCTGGTTGTTTTCTAATACATGTAAAATACAGAACTATAAAATTCCATGTATTATGTCTGGGACCCACGGAAGCTGTCCTACCTGTAGCAGTGCTGCGTTCACCTGTATCCCTCCTGGAGATCATGTCACCTCTCCCTCCTCCCTCTGCTGCCTCCTGCTCCTTAAAACACCCTTCACAAGCCACCAAAGTCCCTTCCAAACCCTGATTGCTGATGTCCACCTTCTGTTAAGAGCAAAGACCAACAGAAGCCGGCCAGCCCCCAGTGATGCTCTATTCAGGGCCACCTGCCTGCCCCCACCCCTCCCACACCTGCCTGCCC